GACTTGAGGCCTGGGAAGGAGGACGCTCCTCATCAGCGGGGCTAGCACACGGCAGGTGCAGGTGTGGAGGGTCTGAGGGCATGGGAGTAGGAAATGCCAAGTGAGGGCTTCTGTTTTCTCTGTGAAACATGAGAGTTACCAACCAGAGCAAGGGAGAGGCAGAGAGAGGAGCAAGCTGCCTGTGGGGCTGGGCGTGCATTGAGGCAGTGACAAGGAATTCATGGCAAAACCAACCCACATCATAACGGTAGCCACGGAGAAAGCAGGGGTCAAAAGCTTTTATTTCCTCTCTGATTATTCAGTCACAATTGTCAATGGAAGAAGTCACAAAGTGTAGAAATTTAGCCAGGAGAGTTTTATCTCTTAGAAAGGGTTGCCACTTGCAGGCTGGCCATCCCACAGGTGGGGAAACGTGGCCTTTAGCAGAAACCAAAAGCAGGCACTTCAGAGGAAAAAGCGGCGAGGCTAAGGCGTATGCCCAAAGACAGGAACTATACATACATATTCAGTAAGTTATATGAGAGCCTTATGAATATTTATGAGGGGACCCTAACACATGCAACTGAATAACCCTGTGTGTTGCATAAAATCCGTGCTCACTTTGGGGTGGAAACGTAACATTAAATGCCTAAAGTTAGCCTCTAAGGGTCAAAAGGTAAAAGTTAGAACATTAGCCAGGCACAGTGGTGTGCGCCTGTGCTCCCAGCTACTTGGGAGGCCGAGGTGGGAGGATGGCTTGAGCCCAGGAGGCAGAGATTGCAATGAGCCAATATCATGCCACTGCACTCCAGCCTGGGCAACAGAGCCAGACCTGCCTTTAAAAAAAAAAAAAAAAAAAAAAACACAAAGGTACTCACTGCACAGCCTCTATAATCTGGTCAGAACCAGCCCACAGTCAGTGGTGTCTTATCAGGAGAAAACTACTGAAGTCAGTCTCTTGTTCAGTCAAACCTATACTTATGCTTTGTGGAGTGGAGTCTGGAGGCATCAGTTAGCATCTGGCAGTTGGTGAGTTAGAACATTTATTCTTTTAGTGTAGGGGTATGTGACTTTTGCCTGGCATGGCCTTAGTCTTATTTATAATTTAATAATTTATAAGCCACAAAGAGTATATTCTGTCAGTCTTATGATCTCTGTTTCACCACCCTGGATTTGTCCACCATCCATTTGGACACCACCCTGGATTTGTCCAGCTCTCCACCATCTCTTGTCCTAGGTACAAGCAGTTTCTCCAAGGACGTGTCTACACCCAAGCAACCACTGGACTGTTTCCTGTCACTACACATTCATTTGCATTTATAGTGTACTGTAGTCCCTTCTTATCCATGGTTTTGCTTTCTGAAATTTCAGTTACTCAAGGTCAACCATGGCCCAAAAATATTAACTGGAAAATTCAGCAATAAGCAATTCCTAAGTTTTAAATTATGTGTTGTTCTGTGTAGTGTGATGAAATCCTGCACTATCCTGCTCCATCCTACCTGGGACAGGAATCATTCCTCTGTTCAGCTTTTCCATGACGTCTGCCCTCCCTGCCCCTTAGTCACCAATAAGCTGGCTCCGTGATTAGATCCACTGTTGTGGTACCGCAGTGCTTCTGTGCAAGGCACCATCATCTGACTTCATAATGGCCCCAAAGCAAAAGGGGAGTGGTGCTGGCAATTATGCCAAAGAGAAGCCTTCCTTTAAGTGAAAATGGGAACACTCCTGACTTAAGAAAACAAAAATCACATGATGAGGTTGCTAAGATCTACAGAAAGAACGAATCTTCTATCCATGAAATTGCGAAGAAGGAAAAAGAAATGTATGCCAGTTTTGCTGTCTACACCTCAAACTGCAAAAGTTATGGCTACAGGGTGTGAGAAGTGCTTAGATAGGATGGAAAAAGCATTAGATTTGTGGGTAGAAGACGTGAACAGAAACATTCTGATTGACAGCAACTGTGTAGCACCAGATTAACTTCATCTGGATTAAATTTGATCACTGGTATGTATGTATAGGAAAAGATATGGCAGATGTAGTGTTTGGTACTATCTGAAGTTTCAGGCATCCTCTAGGGGTCTTGGAAAGTACCCCCCAAGGATACTCGATCCAAATGAAGTAATTCCATACATACTCATTTTTAATCTACCTTTTTCACTCTAATTATCTTGATCTAGATCCATGTTGCATCAACAACTTGTCCCTTTTTATTGCTGAGTATTCCCTAGTGTGGCCACACACACTGTTTACACATTCACCTGTTAATGGAAAACCAGGTGGTTTCCAGTTTGGAGATTTTGTTAAAAGGCTGCTGTGAACATTTATGTATAAGTCGTTGCATGAGCATATTTTTTTACTTCTCAGGTAATTACTATAAAACAAAAAAAAAACAAATCTGAATTATGCAAGGAGAGAATTTATTCTAAAGGACTGTTGTGGGGGTGTGGTGGTGATCATTGCAACAGGGAAATGCTGCAGTGCCCACTGGCAGCCTTCCCATATGATCTGCAAGTGTCTCAGAGGTTAGGCAAGTGGCTGATCTTGTATAGGGAGGCGTAAACGTGGCTACAAAGAACTGTTATGGGAAAGTGGGCTGAGCAAGAGGGTCACCATTGAGCAGGTCTTACCCTGCAGACAGCCCGTTCTCAGGAGGGACCCTCAGGAGGGCTGTGGGTTGGCACAAGCTGCAGGTGGGCCAAAGCTCAACGGCCTGGAAAAGGAGAGAATCCGAACCAAGGTTTGCTTACAGGCATTTTGTTCTTATTGATCTGTAGGGACAAGCAGTTCAGCTAATCATTTGTGATGCCAAGACTGGGAATTTAGAGGGTCTGTGTCTGGCCTGGTCAGAGATAAACAAGGGAGCATCTGGGAGTCTTATCCAAGTTATATGGGAAGTCACTGGTTCTTTCCAGTAGGGTGTAATCTGGAACAAAAGAGTGGAGGAATTCCTTAACCTTCACTATTTCTAGGAGCAAAGGGCTAAGATAAAATTCAGTACTGTGAAGAGTCAGGATTGAAATGGCTAAATCATACAGTAGGTGTATGTTTAACTCTCTTCATACACTGCCAAATGGTTTTCGATCCTGGTGGTACTATTTTATAATCCCATCAGCAGTGTACAGGAATCCCAGGTCCTCCACATTCTTGCCAATACTTTTTATAATCAGTCTTCTTTGTCCATTCTCGTAGGTATAGGTGTGAGAAGGTGTCACATTGTGCTTGTATCTGCATATCCTTAATGATTAATGATGTTGAGCATCTTTCCATGTCCTAATTTTCTATCTGTGTATCTTCTTTGGTGAACTGTCTGTTCAAATATTTTGTCCATTTAAAAAACTGAATTGTTTGATTTTATCTATTGATTTTTAAGTGTTCTTTCTATATTCTGGATACAAGTCTTTTATCAAATACAGACTTTGCACATATTTTCTTCCAGGCTGCACCTTAGCTTTTCAGAAAGCCTTTGGGAGCTATGGCTTAGTGCAACGGTTGTGCCAGGTTCTCCTCAGCGATCCCCCTGATCACAGCCACCCCCATAGGTTCTCTTTCTTTCTTTTCTTTCTTTCCTTCTTCTTTTCTTTTTTTTCTTTTCTTTTCTTTCTTTTTTGAGACGGAGTCTCCCTCTGTCGCCCAGGCTGCAGTGCAGTGGCGCGATCTGGGCTCACTGCAAGCTCCGCCTTTCGGGTTCACACCATTCTCCTGCCTCGGCCTCCCGACAGGTGTCCACCAACACGCCCGGCTACTTTATTTTTATTTTTAGTAGAGACGGGGTCTCACCGTGTTAGCCAGGATGGTCTCTATCTCCTGACCTCGTCATCTGCCCGCCTCGGCCTCCCAAAGTGCTGGGATTACAGGCATGAGCCACCGCGCCCAGACACAGGTTCCATTTCTATATCTGTGGTTACCTTCTGCAAGCTAGGCCGAAGTCCCAAGCTCCAGACCCATGTCTCCGACTGCCCACCGTTCAATGCCCTTTCGATGTCCCATGCAAATCGGAGCTCACCATCCTCTCCCCAGACCCGCTGCTCCTCCAGAAGCCCCGTCTCCATGAACGGCCCTGCACCTACCGGGCTAGAGACCCAGGAGTCGGCCTTGTACCTCCTTCCTTCTCACTTCCACCTCCTGTCATCCAGAGCTGTCAGTTCTTCCTCCTGAACATCTCTGAACACTCACCTTCTCCGCCACCCACCACAGCACCATTGTTCTCACCTGCACCACCCACCCAGACACCTTTCCTTAGACGGGTGGCCAGAGAAAAACTTCTCAAATAGAAGTCGGGCCATGGCACGCCAGTGAGGACCTTCCAGCGGTCTCCTGTGCACTTACACAAGGTCCAGACTCCTTCGTGGGGCAAATCAAGCTCTTGACGATCTGGTCCTTGAGTAATGTGGGGGGCCTCTTGCCCACAGCCCCTCACACTCTTCAAAGCCGGCAGCTGAAGAGCCGAGCTATGGCTGTCTGTGGAGTTCGTCCGCCGCTCCCTGCACGCCCGCCCTCTGCACGGGACGGAGCCCCGTTTCCCCACCTGCGCCCAGCGGCGCTGCCGAGAGTGGCTGGGAAACGCCGGGCTTCGGCGTCAGGAGCGCCAGCTCCACTGCTCACCGCCTGTCACTCTGGGAAAACAGCTCTGGCGCCAGGCTCCCCGCAGGTAAAACGGGGGCAGTCATCCCTCCCCTCCTCAACCACACCCGTCAGAATCAGAAGCCACAAATCATTCTCCGCCACCCAGCACCTGCCTCGGTCTCCTCCACCACTTTCCCCACCGATGGGAAGACGGGAACGTGCCAGGCCCAGAACAGGCCCAGACTGGATGAGGCCAGCGAAGCGCCCAGGGACAAACGTTCGGGCAGCGCCCACTCTCGGGCTCCGGCAAGTGCAGAGTCGCTCCGAGAGCCACCGTCTCCAGAAGACGCGGCAGGCGCCGGGCTGTGACTGGAGACCGAACACCCCCGGAGCCGCCCGCCCCGCGCTGGGCCCGCGCTTCCGGGATTGGGGCCCCTCCGGCGGCGGCTGCCTGTGACGTCACAGGACGCGCCCGCTTCTCGCTCCGGTGATCTGGGCCAGCGGCCCTGGGTTCGCGCGGCTGTATTTCCCCGGCTGGCTGCGGTCACTGGTGTCGGTGCTCAGGCGCGCGCCGCCCTTGACCTCCGGCCCCGCGAGCGCTAACTCAGCGCAGGAGGACCGGCCTCCGCCGCCAGGTAGGAGAGCCTGGCTGGTTCAGGCCAGAAGGGTGTCCGTGGCGCGGGTCTCCCGCGGAGCGCAGAACTGGGACCGGATTCCCAGCCGCTTCTGACCACACCGACGGGGCAGACCTTTCTGAGCGCTCACTAACTGCAGGGTACGGAGATGGGCATGTGAGAACCTAGGGGACCGGCATGGGGGTTCCCGGCGAGTGAACGGTGGTTTGGGATCCGACGTGCACACCCGTGTCTCAGGCTTTGTTTGATGGAGGCTGCTTTTTCCACCTCATGTCGCCGCCCCTTTGCTTACAGACTCTTGCAGAATTGGACTGAGCTCGGGCCGTGTGACATAGTGGTTGTTGCAGAAGCCCCAGGGCCACTTTTTGACTGGCACCTTGGGCACCTGACGTCGTCCCCTTCGAGCCTCAGTGTCCTCTTCTGTAAAGGGAGGGCGCGCTACCTGAGGGGACCGCTGTCAGGTTGGAATGAACCTGCATGTGTGTGTCACCTGGGAAGGGAACAGGCAGTGGGGCCTGGGGTTCTCCTGGAGAGCTGGTAACCAGCCTTGTCCCTGAGGCAACAGCCAGAGGGCGCCTGTAGTTTCATTTTATGAAGTATAGCAGGATAAAATACAAGCCTGGACCACTTCCCATGTGGTGTGCAAGGAACTGTTGATGGGGAAAAGGGCCTTGGGCTATAGTCCTAGGAATTTCGGGGATCCTGATGATGGCTCTGGGATCCTCGTCTCCTGGATCCTGCGTTTTTCTCTGCAGGCTCTGATGCTGGTGTCTGGTAGAAGAAGGCTGCTCACAGCTCTGCTGCAGGCTCAGAAGTGGCCCTTTCAACCCTCCAGAGACATGAGACTAGTACAGTTCCAGGCACCCCACCTGGTGGGGCCTCACTTGGGCCTGGAGACAGGCAATGGTGGAGGGGTTATCAACCTCAATGCCTTTGACCCCACACTCCCGAAGACGATGACACAGTTCCTAGAGCAGGGAGAGGCCACCCTCTCAGTGGCAAGAAGGTAAGTAAGTGGGCAGCATCGCCCTGAAGCAGCTGCCCTGGTCCCCCCGCACCCTCCCACCGCATTCCCGTTCTGGGAAACAGCACCAGCAGGTAGCTCTTTGGCAAGGGAGCAGAGTAACCCCACCTTTTATTTCTCACCTGTTCTCTTAAAAGATTCTTAGAAATCTTATGTAATAACATCTTCAGTTTTCAGAGGAGAAAACTGAGGCCTAGGGGAGGGGATTAACAATTTCAAGGCCGTACATTTGGTGCTGGAACCAGGACACTCTATTTCATCACACTGCCTCCTCTGGGAATGAAGTCCTGGACTGACTGACGGGTCTGGGCTAGGGTGTCCTAAAAGGCATCTTATGCAGCTGGGGGAGTGATAGAGACTCCCAGCTCCTACAAGGAGATGACTGCAGGGAGGTTTTTTACAAGACAGTTCCTGGGTTTGGACTAGATTAGGTGAGAGCGTCCCTGAAGCCTGGACCCCTACAGAATCTGGTCTAAGGAGCTGATGAACAATAAATTAAAAACATGTTAAGATGTCGTTTTCATCTATTAAAATAGGAAAAAATACAAATGTTTCACGGCTCACAGTATTAACAGTATGTTCCCATATTGCCATATTCCGCAAAGATGAGAAACCTCCATGTCCCTCATTAGGGACTTGGGTATATCTCTATACAGCAGTAACATGCAGCCACAAGCAATAAAGAGGACGCCCTCTATGTATTGTTACATATTGTTAAGGAGAGATCTCCAAAACCAGTTGTTTTTGTCAAAAGTGTAAAGATTGGTGCTGTCATGTGCATACAAAAGGCTGGGAGAAGAATATCCATAGAGTAGCTGCGAAGAGCCAGGGGAACAGGGGAACCAGAAGGGGAACGGGAGGCCTTTCTGTGTATTCCAGTTTGTATCTTTTACATGGACATGAGTTACCGAAGCGGGAGCGGAAATCAACACTGGAAAAATAAAAGCCCTGCTCTGGTATCAAAGGACGATAGCTCGGCTTGATTTTCATACTGACTCCGATGGTTGATAGAGCTAGGAAATATATTTCAAAAAGCAAAACCTGTAGCTGCTGCAGGATCTGCCCAACCTGCCAGGATTGCTGACCTGTTCCCAGCCAGACCCTCTCACCTGCTGTGGTCTCTACAGAGCCTTGGCTGCCCAGTTGCCAGTTCTCCCACGGTCGGAGGTAACCTTCCTGGCTCCAGTCACACGGCCAGATAAGGTGGTGTGTGTGGGCATGAATTATGCGGACCACTGCAAAGAACAGAACGTGCCCGTGCCAAGGAGCCCATCATCTTCAGCAAGTTTGCCAGCTCCATCGTGGGGCCCTATGATGAGGTGGTCCTCCCACCAGAGAGCCAGGTCAGTGCCTCCCCACGCCCTCCCTCGTCCCTGAGCCATCACAAGGGCGTTCTGAGCTCAGTGTTCAGCCTGCTGGAGCCAGCTCTTGCTCAGTAGTACATTCAGCAGAAACTCTAGGGGATTATACACTCAGTAATAACGGTGGCCTTGGGAAAAAAGTTAATGTACGTGTTTTCCTGATTACAAAAGCAATACACCTTCACTGTAGGTAAAATGGAGACAAACATTTAAAAATTACGTCACCCGTAATCCCACTGCCCAGGGCTTGTAATATTAATGTTTTTCTGTCTGTCTTCCCAGTGTTTCTCCACTCCTGCATATGTTTATACTGTACATACACTTATCTTTTACTTAAGACTCCATCAGGAGCATTTTTTCATGCCATTAAATATTCTCCCTGACATATTTAGGTTACCACGGAGTTTGTTATATAGGTTAGTTTACTCCCGATTACCTTATTGCTGGATACTGTTTCTAGTTTTTGGCTTCTATAAATAAATGTTGCAATAAACATCCTTATATAGAAAAGGCTTTGCATGTCCATTAATACATTATTATTTCCTTTGAATAAACCCTTAGAATTTAAATATGTCAGAGTATAGGCAGTATTTCAAAACTTTTGAAAAATTCTGCCAACTGGCCTTTTAAAAGATCGTAAAAGCAACTCACACATCCACCAGTAGTGTATATACCCTTATTAACACTGGTTACTTTTTCTCTCTGATTTTTATTTTAGAAATGTCTTGGAAATTATAGAAAAGCTAGGAAAGTAACATAGTGAACGCTCAGATAACTTTTCCATCTGATTTCATTGTAAACATTTGGTCATATTTCATTTTTCTCCCTTGCCTTCTCCCTGCCCTCCACATGGCAAACATTCACTTTTTTTTTTTTTTTTTTTTTTGCAGGGGGTGGGGTGAAGGAGACCTTTTAAAACACATTGGGAATATTAAGACAATTTCGTGAGAAAAACTTAAATAGGCATCTCCTAAGAAAAGGACAGTGGCTGGCATGACCATCCCACCATTATCACTACCAAGAAAATTAACTTGAATAATATTTAGTATAAAATCCAGTTGCCCCAATTCCCAATCAGAAGTACTGCTGACTGCCCCAAAGGTAACTTTTAATTTGCTTACTTTTTTTATTGCTCCTTGATCAACCAAGGCCACACACTGTATTGTTTTATCTCTTTAGTGGTTTCAATCTAGGACAGGGTTCCATAGACCTTTTCTTAAAGGGCTGTTTTAGTCTGTTCTCACACTGCTGATAGACATACCTGAGACTGGGCAATTTACCAAAAAAAAAAAAAAAAAAAAAGAAGTTTAATTGGACTTACAGTTCCACGTGGTTGGGGAAGCCTCAAAATCATGGCAGAAGGCAAAGAGGAGCAAGTCACATCTTACGTGGATAGCAGCAGGCAGAAAAGAGCTTGTGCAGAGAGACTCCCATTTTTAAAACTGTCAGATCTCGTGAGACCCATTCACTGTCGTGAGAACAGCGCGGGAAAGACCCGCCCCCAGGATTCAGTCATCTCCTACCGGGGCTTCCCAAAATATGTTGGAATTATGGGAGCCACAAGATGAGATTTGGGTAGGGACACAGCTAAACCATATCAAGGGCCAATTAGTAAATATTAGGCTTTGAGTGTCAGATGGTCTCTTTTGCAGCAATTCAACTCTGCTCTTGTAGTGTGAAAACCACCAGGGACGATACAGAAATGAATGGTGGGTTTCCATTCAAACTGTTACAGCAGACAGTGAGCTGGCCATAGTTTGCCAACTCCTGATCTCAAACATGCTCCCTGCCCTTTCCTTGAAGAATCCAGTTGTCTCATAGCGTGTTTCACACCCTGGGTTTGTCTGGTTGTTTCTTCATGATTAGTGTCAGGGTAAGCATTTTTATCAAGAGGTCTACAAAGATGTTATACATTTCCCATTGCATCCCACTGGGAGGCTCATGTCAGTGGTCCCAGAATTTGACCACTTGGTTTAGCTGACATTGACTAGGTCCCTCCATTGGGAAGACGCATTTCCATTTTTGTAATTAATAAGCAGTCTATGAGTGGTAGTTTGAGATCACATAACTATCTTACTGCCCCATAGCTTCTCATCCAGGGATCCTGTGGTCATCCTGACTGAATCCATTATTGCATTGGGGGTTAGAGAACAATGACCTATTTTTTTTTTTTTTTTTTTTTTTGAGACGGAGTCTCGCTCTGTTGTGCAGGTTGGAGTGCAGTGGCATGATCTTAGCTCACTGCAACCTGTGCCTCCTGGGTTCAAGTGATTCTCCTGCCTTGGCATCCCGAGTAGCTGGGATTACAGGCGTGTACCACCACACCTGGCTAATTTTTGTATTTTTAGTAGAGACAGGGTTTCACCATGTTGGCCAGGCTGGTCTTGAACTCCTCACCTCAGGTGATCCGCCCGCCTCGGCCTCCCACAGTGCGGGGATGACAGGCGTGAGCCACCGTGCCTGGCCAAGATCAATGACTCTTCTCAATCATGCCTTCTGTTTTTATTGGCTGGCATTCTTCTATGAAGAAAAGCTGCCTCTCCTCTTTTTATTCCTGTGTCTTCAATATCACTGTGAATTCATGATTTTTGTTTTTACTCAATTGTTTGTAATTCATCATTTACATTCTTTAGGTGACCTCAGTTTGGCCAGTGAGGGGCCTTCAAGTTGGCTCCATTCCCATCACTTTTTGTATATCCTAGCTTTTTGACCAAGATGTTCTAGTCTTACCATGTACTGTCTGTCTTGGACCTGGAATTAGCCATTTCCCCGAGGAACCCGGTGCTTTTTAATGGAGAGTGGTATTAGAGACCAACATCTGGGTGTCAGGTGTACTCATACCAACTGGTTATTATCAGAAAGAGCTGCCAATTTCCAAATTATATCTATTTTGTAGTTGTATTTTATGGATTATGGGAGAGGCTGAGCATATTTTCATGTTTTCTGGCCATGTCCATTGCCTTTTTGTGAATTGCTTACTCAAGTCCTTTGTGGGATGTCAATCTTTTTCTTACTAAAGTGAGTTAATAACATTACAGCATTTAGAATAGTCCCTGACATACAGTAAGGTTACATATTGCTGGAGGATATTACTTCGTATTTATTCTTTGTTAAAAGTATCCAGAGTAACTTTTAAACTCAGTGCGCTGGACACATGTTGCTCTTCTGCAGTCACCGTGGGGAGAGGACCTGTGCCTGCATCCCGTGATGCTGTCTGCCACTGCCCAAAATGTATGGGTCTGCAAGTCACACCTCCCTTGTCATTCACTTGGCTCTGCTTCGTGGTGATGGCAAACATGGGCTGGCACCCAAGCCCTAATGACAGAGGTCCAGGCCCTTCAGCACCGTGTGCAGCCTCTCAGCATGGACAATGGGCCCCGAAGTCACTGCAGCTCACTGTTCCTCTCCCACCCTACAGGAAGTAGATTGGGAAGCAGAGCTGGCCGTGGTCATTGGAAAGAAAGGCAAGCATATCAAGGTGAGGTGGAAAGGTGGGGCTCCCAGGCCAGAGTGTAGCAGAGGCCCCAGCTCCTGCCTCTCCCAGTGCTGACCTCTCACCAACACACAGTGCCAGCTGTCCCTGACCCTGGGAAGCGGTCAGCCTCCTTGCTCCCTGACACTGCCTTGCCCTTCACCCACCTTTGGCTGGTCCTGGCTACTAACACGGGATAACAGCTTAGAGATCCTTTGCCGAAGGTGTTGGTGTTACCCGTGATCTAACCTCCTGTATGGCCACATCCCCTGCCCTATAGGCCACAGATGCCATGGCCCACGTGGCCGGCTTCACTGTGGCCCATGACGTGAGTGCTCGTGACTGGCAAATGAGACGCAATGGGAAACAGTGGCTGCTGGGGAAAACCTTCGACACCTTCTGCCCTCTGGGCCCTGCCTTGGTGACCAAGGACAGTGTAGCAGGTAGGTCCCTGGTCCCTGCCCCCTTGTACCTACCATTGCACAGATGAACAGCATTCCAGGGAGGAGTGTGGGTTTAGGTACATGCGGTGCCTGCCCTCCCTGGCCACCCTTTCACTGCTGACTCCACACAGGGCAAGTCTCTTACCCTCAGCCATGAATTCTCCCATGGACTTCCTTCCCAAGTCCCCTAGAGGGAACACAACTGCAGAGGATGTGAAACTGCAGGAAGTAAATGACAACATTGAGCTGATGGGTGGATCAGGCTTCCTGTGGCTGCCGCCATCTGAAACAATCTAAGTTGAGCATCATGGAGCATAGTTATCACAAGGCCCTGGCATCTTCCACAGTACAGGACATGAGAGCCCGTGTGACTCACTCAGCCATTGTGGAAACAGAACAGCACCGACCACATACAGTGAGGAGACAGCGCCAGGACGGGGGCAGTGCCCCAGAGCGTAGAGCGCAGCCTCTTAACACAGCCGCCCACAACTGTGGTGGAGATGGGGGGAGGTGTCCATGTGGGCCAGCCATGCCAGGATGCCAAAGACCCCATTACCTCACAGCACCCCATGCAGAGTCCTTAGTAAAGTTAAATTGTGTTTCAGCTGCTCTACTTAAGGGGAGTAGAACACTAAGACCACCACCAACAGTTGAAAGTGCTGGTTAGCCAGGATGTTCTTACACTAATCCATCCCCTGCCATCTTCCATTACATGAGGCTTCACTGTCCTGGCTAGAACTATTACCTCACTGCTTTATAGATGCTAAGTCTTTTTTTTTTTTTTCTTTGGAATGGTCTTACTGTGTCACCCAGGCTGGAGTGCAGTGGCCCAGTCTCAGCTCACTGAAGCCTCAATGTCCAGGGTTCAAGCGATCCTCCCGCCTCAGCCTCCTGAGTCGCTGGGACTACAGGCATGCATCACCACGCCTGGCTAATGTTTTTATTATTTTTTATAGAGACAAGCACTCACTATGTTCCCCAGCCTGGTTTTGAACTCCTGAGCTTAATCAGTCCTTGCCTGCTTTGACCTCCCAGAGTGCTGTGATTACAGGCGTGAGCACCAGGCTTGGCCCTACCCAGGAGGCATTTTTGTATCTACAGGTGTCATCCGATGCTGTAGACAGATGCCCTTTTTTTTCAAGGCAAAAACCGAGCCATTTTTCTCTCCCTCTTCAGAGTCTGGAACATCCTCTCACTCAGCCCTGTGACTACTGCCGGGTGCTCTTGGCGGGGATGCAGGGAGGCCTGAAAGGCCAATGTCTATACAGAAAGTTCTAACGTAAAGCACTGAGTCAATGTGGGCACAAAGCCCTTTCACCTGGCAAGTCACAAAGCTCCGCTACAGTTGTGTTTATGAAATACTGGGGGGCTTAAGGGGGGAAAGGGATAACCCCAAGGTACCATCTTTGCATTTCAGATCCACACAACTTAAAGATCTGCTGCCGAGTGAACGGGGAAGTGGTCCAGAGCAGCAACACCAACCAGATGGTATTCAAGACGGAGGACCTGATAGCCTGGGTCTCCCAGTGAGTGCCAGGGCCTGTCCTGCCAGTCCACTCCATCCGCCCACATGTGGAGGCTGAGCTGAGCCCTCACCCTTGGCTGTGGCCACCTCAGCCAGCCCCTGGTCTCACCGGGTCCTTTGGCTTTGCTCCAGGTTTGTCACCTTTTACCCAGGGGATGTCATCCTGACTGGGACCCCCCCAGGTGTCGGTGTATTCAGGAAACCTCCTGTCTTTCTCAAGGTAGGTTAGCGAAAAGGAAAGAGAGCAAGGGCCCCGAAGGCCTGGCAGGCTTGGCTCAGACCTGAGAAGTACAAGCTTGTGTGGATGTGCGTGTGTCTGACGGAAGGGCTGACACCCTCATGGCCTGCTCTGTTGCAGAAGGGGGATGAAGTCCAGTGTGAGATTGAAGAACTAGGTGTCATCATCAACAAGGTGGTGTGATGGCTCCTGCACAGGCCCTGGACATAGGATGGGGGCATCTGCTCCCACTCAGCCTAGCCCAGGGAAAGGCCCAGTGACAGGTATGGGCAGGTGCCGGCCCTGAAGCCGCCTCTTCTGGGTAGAAGGGAGGAGGACTGAGCTCTCTTCAATAAATTTGTCAGGCCAAAGCAGCAGCTTGGCTTCTGCTGTTTGTCTTCTTTTGGGCTTTGTTTCATGGACAAGTCGGGGCATTTTGTGGGACTGGGGAAGAAGAGAGCAAATACACACGCATACGCCACAAAGATACTCCTGGGCTTGGGAAAAGACAACCTGTCTGGTCCCCTTGTTTATCACATCAAAGGAGGGAGAAAGCAAGAGATGGCAAGGGACAATCAAGCCTCAATGATTATATTTATAGACCAGCTAAGGGTTTGCAGCCTCCTCTCCGTCTTCTGGCTCTAGGACACGGCTGTGTTGTGGGGCTGAGAAGTCTCGGCACAGGCTCCTTCTCACAGTTCTAGCTACAAATGAACTGCCGGATAAACTGTTCTAGTCTTTGCTGATTCTCCCGGCTGGCAAAAGTAGGGGACAGGTGGAGCCTGGGGCCTGCAGGGCTCGGCATCTGCTGCAGAACCTGGGCCATGGAAGATGGGCCATGAGTACCCTCAACACAGAGACTGTGTCCACCGGGCCCAGGGGCCAAGTCTGTCCCCCAGAAACCTGCCGTGAGACCTCAGTGTTTTGTGCAAAAGCTGCCTCAAAGCAGCCCTAATACCCCACCTAGAAGGATGAGCCAGTGATTTGGGAGACCAAGAGGCAGGAGACCATCCCATCTTCTCCAACCCATCACCACGTATGTTGCTAGAAGACACCAAGTAAATCCCAGGGTCTTAATGAGACACCATCACGCCAGCCCTGTGGGGTGATGGGGACGTAGCTGGGTGTCCCTGAGCCACTCTATCGGGGTGGGAACGGGGACAGAAGATGGTGACAGTGGCTCCTCTCACCCCTAGGTCTCTGAAGGTCCAGATAGCACTGATGGCGAGCTTTGGGTCTGCACACTCTGGAGAGGAGAGAAAGGTGAAGGCTCTAGGTAGGGAGGACAGGGAGCCACTGGGCACAGGGTTCTCTCCTCTTGTGTAAAGCAGCAGCCCAGGGAGGGCTAGAGCTCAGACTGGACAGAAGACCCTCTGAACTCTGCAGCCGCCTTCCTAGAGTTGTCCGGCAGGGGGCAGCAACCACCAGCAAACACCCCTGCCTCCAGGAGCCTGGGCTGACTGGCTGGGACTCACCAAAGATCCCTTCTTCCTGGGCGGTGGCCTGGAGGAACTGGAACAGCTGTTCTGTGTAGCCCGACTCTGTGGAAAAGAGAAGACCTAGACCTGGTGCCCTACACAGACAGCCTGCCTTGAGGACTGCAAGGGAACAAGGGCCTCACCAGTATCGGGCAGCTGGCCCTGGTGGAGGAAGGCGGCAGCCTGTGCAAAGGCCTTGAGCAGTGGGCTGAGCAGGCGGCAGAGGAAGAGAAAGAAGTCTGGGCAGTGTGACTGCTGGCTGAGCTGGGGGGGACAGGCTGGGGTGAGCGCAGCTCCCCACCACCTCCCTACCACCTCCCTCCAGGGGCAGCTTCTTGAAACACCCTGAAGTACCGGCCCTCAGCCTCTTCAAAGTCATCACTGTCACTATCAGTAAAGTCCCCACTTGGTTTCCACAGCAGCTTCCTGCTCAGTCGCTGTCGCCCTGTGTCACAGGCTGACCGGGAGCCTGGGGTCTAGGGGCCATGGAGCCATAGTTCTCTGACAGGCTGGCCAGGGATCAACCGTATACCCCCAGACCAGGTACATGCAGGTGAATCCAGTAAAAGCAGACCTAGAGACCCAAGAGGTTGCTCTGCAGAAGCTTTTTAACTTGATGTGCTCCCATTAATCCAATTTTGCTTTGGCTGCCTCTGTTTGTAGGGTATTGCTAAATAAACTTTTGAGCAAGGTGTAGTGGCTCATGCCTGTAATCCCAGTACTTTGTGACACTTAAGGGGGTGGATTGCTTGAGGCCAGGAGTTCAAGACCAGTCTGACCAACATGGTTTAACCTTGGCTCTACTAAAAATACAAACATTACTGGGGCATGGTGGCACACACCTGTTATACCAGCTACTTGGGAGGCTGAGATGCGAGAAAGGCTTGAACCCAGGAGGTGGAAGTTGCAGTGGGCAGACAATACTTCACTGCACTACAGCCTGGGTGATAGAGCAAGACTCTGTCCGAAAGAAAGAAGGAAGGCAGGAAGGCAGGAAAGCATTTTTGCCCAGACTAATGTCCTGGAGATTTTCCCCAATGATTTCTTGTGGTAATTTCATAGTTCAATATTTTAAGTCTTTAAACACTTTTGATTTGATTTTACATATGACAAGATACAGAAGTCTAGGATTTAGTTTCATTCTTCTTCATATGGAAATCTAGTTTTCTCAGCACCATATACTGAAGAGACTGTCTTTTCCCCAGTGTGTGTTCTTGGTATCTTTGTGAAAATGAGTTCAGTGTAGGTGTGTGGATTTGTTTCTAGGTTCTCTATTCTGTTCCATTGGTCTATGTGTCTGTCATTATGCCAGTACCATGCTGCTTTAGTTATTATAGCTCTGTAGTATAATTTGAAGTCAAGTAATGTGATTCCTCCAGTTTTGTTCTTTTGGCTTAGGATAGCTTTATCTATACTGGGTCTTTTAGGGTTCCATATACATTTTAGGATTTTTTTTTTCTATTTATGTGAAGAATGTCATTGGTATTTTGATGAGGATTGCATTGAATCTGTAGTCTGCTTTGAGTATTATGGACATTTTAACAATATTGATTCTTCTGATCCATGATCCTGGAATTTCATTCCATTATTGGATGTCCTCTTCAATTTCTTTCATCAGTGTTTCATAGTTTTCGTTATTGAGATCTTTCACTTCTTTGGCTAATTCCTAGGTGTTTGATCTTATTTGTGGCTATTGTAAATGGGATTACTCTTTTAATTTCTTTTTCAAATTGTTCACTGTTGGCATCTAGAAATGCTACTGATTTTTCTATGTTGATTTTGTATCCTGCAACTTTACTGAATTTGTTTATCAGTTCTAATGTCTTTTTGTGTGGAATCTTTAGGGTTTTTTCAAATACAAGATCACATCATCTGCAGACAAGGATAATTTGACTTCTTCTTTTCCAGTTTGCATGCCCTTTATTTCTTTCTCTTGTCTGATTACTCTAGCTAGGACTTCCAGTCCTATGTTGAATCAACAGTGGTGAAAGTAGGTATCTGTGTTGTGTTCCAGATCTTAGAGGGAAGGCTTTCAGTTTTTCCCCATTCAGTATGATACTAGCTGAATGGTATCGTGTTTTAATTTCAAGTTCCACTTGTTCATCGTAGGTATCTAGGAACGTGATTGGCTTTTGTACATTAACCTTGTATCCTGCAACCTTGGTATAATTACTTATTAATTTTCTAATTTTAAATTTTCTTTTTTTCTTCCTTTTTTTTTTTTTTTTTTTTTTTTTTTTTTGAGACAGAGCCTCACTCTGTAACCTAGGCCAGAGTGAAGTGGTGTGATCTAGGCTCACTGCAAACTCCACCTCCCAGGCTCATGCGATTCTTCCACCTCAGCCTCCCAAGTAGCTGGGATTACAGGCATGCACCACCATGCCTGGCTAATTTTTGTATTTTTGGTAGAGACAGGGTTTTGTCATGTTGCCCAGGCTGGTCTCCGAACTCCTTGGCTCAAGTGATCCACCCACCTTGGCCTCCCAAAGTGCTAGGATTACAGGTGTGAACCACTACGCCCAGCCTATAATTTTTTTGTTTATTCTTTTCAGATTTTCTTTATAGACAAACATGTCATCTGCAAACAAAGAGTATATTTTTTCCTCCTTTCCAATCTGTATACCTTTTGTTTCCCTTTCTTGTGTTATCACATTAGCTAAGACTCCGGCACAGTGTTGAATAAGAGTGGTGAGAGGAGACATCCTTGCTTTGTTCCTGATCTTAGCAGGAAAGCTGTTTCTCACTGTTAAGTACAATGTTAGCTGTAGGATTTTTGCAGATATTCTTTATCAAGTCAAGGAAGTTCCCCTCTAGTACTAGTTTACTGAGATTTTTTTTTTTATCATGGGTGTTGTATTTTGTCAAAAGTGATTTCTGCATCTATTAATATAATCATGTGATTTTTCTTCTTTAGCCTGTTGGTGTGATAATTTGTATATCTAAATAAGTTTGAATATTAAACCAGCTTTGCATACCTAGGATAAATCCCTCTTGGTCTTGGTGTATAATTCTTTGTTTACGTTGTTAGATCGTACTTGCTAGTATTTTGTTGAGGAATTTTGCATCTATGTTCATGAGAGATATTGGTCCCATAGTTTTCTTTTCTTATAATGGCTTTGTGTGATTTTGGTACTAGGGTAATACTGTCGTCTTAGGATGAGTTAGGAAGTATTCTCTCTGCTATTTTCTGGACGAGACTATAGAATAGTGACATAATTTCTTCCTTGAATGTTTGGTAGAATTCGCCAGTGAATGTATCTGGGCCTGGTGCTTTCTGTTTTGAAAGGTTATTAGTTATTGATTTGGTTTCTTTAACACAGATAGACCTGTTCAGATTGTCTGTTTTTTTTCTTGAGACAGGCTCTCATTCTGTTGCCCAAGCTGGAGTGCAGTGGTGCAATCACTCCTCACTGCAGCCTTGACATCCTATGCTCAAGCAATCCTCCCACCTCCAGCTCCCAAGTAGCTGAGACAACAGGCACGCACCACCATACCCATCACATTTTTTATTTTGTAGAGACAGGGTCTCACTATGTTGCCCAGGCTGGTCTCAAACTCCTGGCTTCAAGAGATCCTCCCACCTCAGCCTCCCAAAGTGCTGGGATTACATGCATGAGCCACCATCTCCCAGCACAGATTTTGTATTTCTTCTTGAATGAGTTTTGACAGAATGTGTATTTCAAGGAATTGTTTCATTTCACCTAGGTTATCAGATTTGTGGGCATCAAGCTTTTCATAATATTCCTTTATGATCCTTTCATTATCCATAAAAGGACATTAGTGATGTCACCCCTTTCATTTTTCATATTAGTAATTTGTGTCTCCTTTTTTTCTTAGCCTGGCTGGAGGCTTATGAGTTTCACCTACCTTCAAATAAACAGGTTTTGATTTTGCTCATT